AGATGGAGATGGGTGATCTGTAGGACAGGTCCATCTCCGGAGACTTTTCCCTCTCCCACGGAGAAGCAAGGGGCAAAGGAGAGCACAAGGTGCTGTACTGGCCCGGAGGACGCCGCTTCTGCACAGCTGGCTGGATGGCAAGAGCCTGTCACTGGCAAGGGAAGACAGCAGGAAGACACAGACGTGCTACAAAGGGAATGGAGCGCTGCTGGAGTTTAATAATTCACCAGCCGAGAGGCTGGAACTTGATCTCTGGAAGTAACCAGACTCCAGGGAGAGAGGAATCCTGCGACAGCCAGCAAGGGCACGTGACTGTCTTTGGGTCCCTCGCACACGGCTTGCGGTCGCAGGCAGCGGATAGCAGCGGCTGGGGGAGAACGTCAGGTAAGATCAAAACAGGTTTCACCTCTTCCCTGCCCGCCGTTCCCCCACCTCTAGCTCTTCGCATCCCTCCCGCTCCCGGTCTCAGTGAGGCTCCGTGCCTGAACCTTCCTGCTCTCCCTGCCTGCGTGGAAGGAGCCCAAGCACAGATCACTCCGGGAAGTCCCTGCAGATGGTGCAGGTTTATAGAGGGGGTAGACCACATGCCAGGGACAAAAAGCGGAAAGGAGCTCAAGTTCTCACCATCCCAATATGTGGGGTTTCATTTTTCCACTGGAAGGCAGCCCCTCCATTATGCAGCAAAAAGAAAACCTTTACTCCACATTAAAAGCCAGTTAATTCCACAATCTCATTTGTGAAAGTGAAGATCGGAAGGCAGATAATCAGTTTTTAGCCCTACTCGTGACTCAGCACCCACACTCCTGCCAGGGGTATCCCTTAGGAATCAGGTCCAGCAAGCTTGCAGCAGTTACCTCGTCCAGGAAACATGCAGGAATACCAAAGTTAAAGCCCCATCTCCAGTCATTTGCATCTCGAGGGTTTTTCCGTGTTCCTCTTTTTAGGCCAGACCAACTCCGAGAGGATTCTTACATGGGAGCTGGCTCAAAGCGTCTCCACTGGCTGCAGCTGGTAAGCCCAGCATGCAGTGCTGTGCTTCGTGGGACAACCAGCCCCTCACACCACACGCCTGCTCCCAGGGCTGGCTGCAGGGACAGGCCGCTCACCTCCTCAGCCCGCCCAAAGCGCACAACGCTGTGTCTCAGGGTGCCCAGTTCCTGATTTTCTGCCTGTAAGAAATTCAGAGGCTGCAAGCTCAGAACCCCTCCAGGACTTTGTACGATGGAGAGACAGACAACCACGGACTGCATGACAGTGGAACCAAATGCAAACCTCTCTTTATTTCAGGTCACGTTAGTTTTGCATAGAAGCACTGTTCACAACAGCAGTCCATCCAGTCAAAAGCAAATGATTAAGAATTCAGTTTGCCAGGTTACTCCTCAAAACGCCTCCAAATAGATAGATAAATTATTTATAAATATGAAAATTTACTGCAGAAACATTGAGCAGTATAGCATTCACAATGGGATTTCCAGCAGTAAAAAAAGTAAACCCACATTATTACAGGGTCAGCTTCTTTGGTGGGAACTGATCTCAGAGCATTTCAGTTCCACGTTAAGAATAACGATCAATGATCTTTCTGCCAAGGCTATTGTCCCTCATCTCAAGCTTCCTGCAAGTAAAGACAGGCTTTCACATCTCAGCCCTTGAGCAAAGAGCAGCAACAGCAAGCCAGGAGGCACGGAACAGTCTGGGGGTCCTGCTCCCACCCTGCCTGCAGTCAGTATCTGTGTTGCCACCCCGCCTCGGAGGGGAAAGGGGAAGGTGCTACAGCAGACAGCTGGCTCGGGAAAGGTTGCCCCTTCTCCCAAGGCCAGTCGCAACATTCTGCATCATGTCTACTGCGTGGATTTGGAGCGTTTCTGCTCCCCTTCAAACCGGGCGTGTTGAGGGAAGAATCCAGTGGGCCAAGTCATGCCTGAAGCTCTACCTGGCCTTGGCCCATCCTGTGACATGGGAAGGTGCACGGTGCTTTGTCAGTGGAGGAGTTGCACAGACAGGAGACAGACTCCAGCTGGGACAGCTCAGGACAGGTAGGTGGGGGCTCTGGCTCCTAGGAAGGGCTGTACAGTCAGAGCAGGGCAGCAAAACCGAGCCCAGCAGCAGAGATGGGGCCACAGCACGAAGACAACTGTCAGCATTTCACAGCTGTCTGGGGATACATGGGTGTGTTCCAGAATACATGTGTATGTATGTCTATTAAATATCCTTAATTCCTCATCATTATTAGTCGTAGTCCCTCCCCCTCCTCAACATCTTGGTTCAAGGGCAAGTTGGAGCCATTTCAGTCTCTGCTGCTCCTTGCCACGGGGGTGCTGAACAGGAACCTGCAGGCCAGTCACTGGCAGAGATGTTGCACCAGCCGCTCAAACTGCTCCCGCTGCTGGTAGATGTAAAGCTGGGTGTCCCAGAGAGCGTTCACCAGCACGGTGTCGTTCACCTCGTCCAGCATCACCTCCGTGTGCAGCTGAGGGCTGAGCCTGCATACGACAAGACAGCATCACCAGCTGGGCACGGGGGCGAACGCGACGGGGCAGCGAGCCTGCCGAGCTCCAGGTTGCGCGAAGCGGCTCCCGCCGTCCCGGGCACTCTTACCCAGGAGGCTTGCAGAGCGCAGGCCTTCCGCCCCTTCGAGGCACAACCACACTCAAGGCTGACACTCAGTTCAGCAGCTGCACCACCGAAGGCACGAGCCTCAAAACACGCTGTGCATGGTGGAACAGGGCAGGATGCACATCCCCAAAGGACCCTGTTAGACAGCATCCGCTGAGTCCCTGCTAACCGACCCCGGACAAGGCGTGCTCAGTGGGCCGTGGCATGCTCCGGTGTGTCACCGAGGCATGAGGGGACAGGTCTGGGCAGGCATGCCGCTGGAGGGGACATGATTTGGGATGGCGCATGCCACAGCCAGGTCTGAAGCGAGAGGGCTAAAAATAGGTCTGTGCAGAGAGCGGAAAGGAAGCTCCTACCGGAAATATGGGACATCCGTCATCTCACACCAGGCTCTGGCACGATCCACAGCTGGGCCATCTGCGTCAGTGCACTGCAGGAGAAACAGGCCCACAGTTAGAGCCTGACCGTCACGCTGCTCCCCCCTGCCACCAAGTCAAACTTGCACAAGCTGCAGAGGGAGAGGGAAAACCAGGAGCAAGTGCATCCTGGATGGCAACGTTCACCACTAATGAGTGGGATGGCTTTTTGTTTGCTAGTTGTTTTTCTTTTTTTAACATAAGAACAGTGCTTCTGGATCCTTGGGACACAAGCAATTGCACCCTACAGATCCTCCATCCGCCACAGCAGCCAGTGGATTCCCTTAAAAAAACCCCCAGGACGATCCGAGTCACAGCTCCCTTGGGATTTCACCTCTACCCATTTCTGTCCAAGCCCAGTACCAGTGAAGCCTGTGACTAGTGCAGTCTTTCTGCGCTATCCTGGGACAGCTTCCCTGGGAACCTTGAAAAAAAAAGACAGGGGAAGCAGAGGGACCTCTCTGGGTATTTTCTGGCTTTAGGAAGCTAAAAAGAGATAAAGCAACAGAATTAAGGTTATAGTCAGAACCTCAGTTCTGATCTTTCTGGCTTTAATTCATTTGGAGTGTTTTCATGCGCAGCATTTAATGAGCTTCTTTCTGAAGCATGCAAGAAAGTATGCCTATTAAACACTCCTAACCACGGCTCTGAACCACTGCTTTTTATTAGTGATACTCCCACTTCTCTAGCATTTGCTGATTTCCCCAGTAGGGGTAACAAAGCTTTTCTAAAGAAAAATGAATTGCTGTTTTCCGAGGCATGATGGGTTTTTTTTGGTCCAGGTTGCTCAGATGATCATCAGTCCTCCCTGGAAAGATACAGAGTTTAACGAACTCACACCTGCAAATGTTCCCAAGGGTCACTGACCACCATCCTTTCCTCAGCTCCTTTCAGCTGCAGAAACCTCCCTTGGCACTCAAAACCCCAAAGAGGCAGACAGGCCTTCAGACCTGCTGTGCTCCCACAATTTTTACGTTACCCAGTATGTCCATTCCTTGAACTGGCCATGGTCAGAGCAGTTCCAAGGAAATACAATTTTCTTCCAAAAGGAAGAAGCTGAAGACTGGAAACCTTTGCTCTGTCCCTGCAAGCAGCCCCAGGGCGCTTCCCCCATCCCCTCTTCCCAGTACTCACACAATCCACCACCATCTTGCCAAGCTCCCTGGCCCCAAAGACAGTCTTCGCCAGCTCCCAAGGGTTGGAGGGGCGGAAAACATCCACAGAGCTCACCGGGACCTGCGGAGGCTTCCCTGTCCCCAGGGAGACCACCAACCCCAATTTTCTTACTTTCTGCCTCTGACCCTGTGGACAAGCATAAGATTTGTTTGCAAGGACCAACAATTACGGCGAAGCATGTCTTTCACAGCAGTCTTGGGGAAGCTCTGAAAGCCAAGGCAAAAGGTTTGGTAGCCTTTTCTCCCTCCCATCCTCCCCCTTTAGTACCGCCTGGTGAAGCAAGTATAATCCACATGACTTCAACAGCTGCACTGTTCTGTCCCTTACGGCCCTGGCTGCACCCAAACCCATCGGATCACCCCAAGGATGAGTCCTGGGACCAGATGACAGTGAAACAGCCCAACTCTTTCAGACATTTTGGCAACACACCTCCCCTTGCAGCTACAGGGAGCAGTAGCTGCCAGTAATTAGTCATCTTTTTGAGGAACTTGCCACAGCACAGAAGGCATTCACTCTTCAGCCTTGCAGAGTGCCCTACCGTTGTCTTCTCCATTTATTTTTGCACAGAAAAAGACCCTGCAGAGCTGCGTCAAGGGCCACACACAACCATCAACTGAATCATCCTGGCTCAAAGTAGCAAGCACAGGCTGATGGGGCTGCCTCCCTGCCTCACACCCTTGCCAGAAGAGGTATTTCACCTCTCAGACACCATTCCCAACACAGATCCCCCTCCTTACACTCCCTTCTAGGGTGCTGCACTGCTAACTTGTTCATCCACTAGAGAGGCATCCATTCCCAAACTCTCTAGCCCTTCAAGGAAGGCTCAGTA